CGAAAAATTGAGATTTTTCGAAAATCTTTAAATTCGATTTTTTCGATATTCATATTCGCTCAGTTCCTGGAAGTCAGCTCATGCAAAAATGCATCGAGAGAGCTGAGCTGCTCTCAGAGAGGAGTTTATATGCCAATGCTCGGCTCAAAAATCTTTTTCTTAAAATGAATTTCAAAACTCTGCAAAAAGTTCAGAAAACCGACTCAAAGTTATCACATTGTCTCTTTTCGTCGGGTCGGCTAACTAGCTCCACCCTGTGCCCGAATTCCTCTTAGCTCATCTTTGCCGAAGAGCTCTACGAGGTACTAGCTCCACCCCGCGCCGGAATTCCTCTAGCTCATCGATGACGAAGGACTCTACGAGGTACTGGCGCCGGCGGTGAACCGTCAACCTGGTCACCGCCGGGAACCTCGTAGAGCTCATTGCATCCGCGAGGCAGCTCAGGATGAAAGCGAAGAGCTTCTTTGGGTGTTTCTATAAAACTTCAACTTGAGATTTTTTCGGATTCAACATGTGGTCGGTTGCTCCAAGTGAACTGGTACTGAAAATGACTCTAGAGGGCTGAGCTGCTCAGGGAACAAAGTTTATATCTCAATGCTCGGAGTAAAAATCTGCTTTCTCAAAATAAATTGTCAAATATCTTTCAAAAAATTGCAAAACCACCGAAAAGTTGCCACATTGTCCTTTCTGGCCGGGTCGACCAACTAGCTTCACCCCGCGCCGGAATTCCTCTAGCTCATCGATGACGAAGAGCTCTACGAGGTACTTGGTAGCGTCCAACTGGGCGCCGGCGGTAAACCGTCAACCTTTGTTACCGCCGGGGGACTCGTAGAGCTTCCTGACAACACATAATGTCAAAAAAAATTGCAGAGAACGAATAATTTTTCAGCCCAACTCAAGTATCAGACCGAGTTAGGACCTCTGAATGCGACAGACAGACGCGTTTCATGTCTCCGAATCGATTCATGTGATTAACCGCCCTGCAGCCCCCCTGCAGCCCGAGTTAGGTGCAGAACGGCGACAGTAGCTGTCAAGCTGACTGGAAGAATACGAACAGTTTCGTGAGTCTGGATCGCGCAGCAGACCGAGTTCAGAGCTCTGGATTCAACAGGCGAACGCGCCTGATTATTCTGAGTGTGATAGGTGTGCTCACCAGCACTGTAGCTGGCCTGCAGCTCGAGTTAAGTAGAAAATACCGACAACGCGTATCAAGTTGACTCGAATAATACGAATAGGTTTGCGGACCTAGCTCGGCTTGCAGACGGAGTTCAGACCTATGGATTCAACAGGCGAGCGCGCCAGATGATTCTGCATGCGATGGGTGTGCCCACCAGCACTGTAGCTGCCCTACAGCTCGAGTTAAGTTGAAAATAACGACAACGCGTTCAAGTTGACTCGAATAATACGAATAGGTTTGCGGACCTAGCTCGGCTAGCAGACCAAGTTCAGGCCTCTGGGTTCAACAGGCGAACGCGCCTGATCATTCTGCATGCATTAGCTGTGCTTACCAGCTCTGTAGCTGCCCTAGAGCTCGATTTATGTTCGAAAAACGGACAGCGCGTATCAAGATGACTCGAAACGGCCGTTCCCGCCACCGTGCTTTT